AGAGCACCAGCCCAGTAAGAAAAGCCAAGTGAGTATGAGGCAGAGTTCAGACTGGTGATAAGCAAAGGGAATAGGGTTTCACAATTTTTTGTCTAGGTTGGTTTCAAACTGCAACCCTCCCAGTCTCATCTCCTAAGTAGGTAGAATTACAGGTGTAAGTCACTGGTGCCCCACTTTCATGTAAAGGTGTAGCAACAGTCCAACACATAAAGTTACTACGGAAGCAGACTTTTCAAGTGAGTAAACCAGCTTTGAGCTGGGCAGCCCTGTGTCTGAATACTCAGCATTTTCAGTAGTAGTACACTCAGTAAACTACCTCATGGAATGCTGTTGTGTGTACTCAAGAGTGTAAAGTGCAGAAAACAGTAGGTCTCAAAAAACGGGATGAAGCCAGATGCCAGTGACTCTCGCCTGTAATCCTAGCTACTTACGAGGCTGAGCTTTGAGGATCATGGTTCAAAGCCAGCTCGGGCAGGAAAGTCCATGAGACTCTTATCTCCAATTAACCACCAGAAAACCGGAAGTGGCACTGTGACTCAAGCGGTAAGCCTTGTGCTGAAGAGCTCAGGGATGGTGCCCAGGCCTAGAGTTCAAGCCCCACAACCGACCAAAAAAAAAAAAAAAAATCCCCCTCAAAACAATAAAAAAACGGGGTGGGGGGGCAGTAGTTATTTTACCTTGAATAAAACCAATTACTTAAGAACTCTGGACATAAAATGAATGTGTTTTAAAAACCAAAGTAGCTTTAAGCCATGTAGCAGTTCATTGGCAAAGAATAACTTCGTACTTGCTTAAAATCTAAGAAATCTGACATTCCCACTTATAAACTGGACAGAATAATAGCTATAAAATGGGATTACAATGATTGGGAGAGGATTAAATGAGTCAAACTTAGCCAATAGTTAGGAAACACCTCATAATAGGCACTGAGCTCTTCTTTCAAGAACTTTAAAATGTGTCAGAATAGTGTTTGATGAATAGCCAAATACCTTACCTATTATAATCTTTTATTTATCACATGTCTCTCCCTGGATTGTAAGCAGGTAAAAAGTCCCTTTGTCTGGTTCAAAGCAATCTGCAAGGTGGCAAGGATAATAGGGGCATGCAATCAACGTATGCTGAATACATGAATGAAAATGACACATGTGCCCAAGATCCAAGAGGAAAGAACGAAATGTGGGCAGTTTCCATTACAACCTCACCACTATCCCCGCACCGCGCCTTCCAGGCCCTTAAAAAGGGGAGAGAACGCGAAGATCAGCACAGGTGGCTCACCTGGAGGACCGAGGATCTCTGGAGCACCCTCTCCTGTGCCAAGGGGTACAAAGCTAGTTTCTCCAGCAGTTCTTTGTGAAGTGAATCTGACTCCAGGGCTTCCTGGAAAGAAATGTCGTGCTGGCTAAGGAGGCTGAACTTGGACTTCCGGTAGAAAGTGGCCAGGCCTTCGTGTTGCTTGATTCGAAACACCCCCTCCAGCCCAAAGGCCTCGAGCGCGGGAACCAGGCTGTCCGAGAACACGGCCCGGTCCACCTCCTGCAGACAGATGAGGTCGGCGTTGTAGCCCGTGAGCTCCTTCTGGATAAGGTTCTGGCGGTAGTCGAGCTCCAGGGCGTAGGGGGCACAGTACGGGTACAGCACAGTCCGCGAGAACTCAGTTTGGGCGTACGTGTCGGCCAGGATGTTGTAGGACACCGTGCGGATGAGCGCGTCCTCGGTCACTTTCTTGGTGTAGAGATGCCGGTGATCGAAAGTGCACGTGCCGGGCCCGGCCTCCACCGGGCACACGCTCTCCAACTCCCGGCTCGGCCCGAAGCGCTGCCCGTTGCCTGGCGTGCAGCGCAGCTTCAGCCGCAGCCCGATGTCAGCGTTGCTCGGGGTGTACACGCGCTCCTCCACACCGGTCTCGGTCCAGGTAGCAGGCGGAGTGGCGGGAGACAACGACGAGGAGCCGCTGCCCTCGGACTCGGCCGCTCCGGGTTTGGATTCCTTATACCAGCGGAACAGGGACCCGGCAGGATCTCCAAACTCCAGGGTGAGTTTGGGACACACCGGGAAGCCCGCCATGATGTACCGCGGCAACTGCAGCTCGGTGAAGGCGGGCGGGTTGCGCTCCACCTTGTACTTGACATCGCCGATCTGCAGCACGGCGCCGTCCTGCCAGGCGTCCACGTTGAGCACGTCCTCGGCCACGGCCTCCTCGCGGTAGTAGAGCTTCACCACCGGCTCGCAGGCCGCGGCCGGCTCCGACACACTCCCGGCGCAGGCCGCCCCACCGCTCGCGCCGGGCCGGTTCTTCCGGCTCTTCTTGGCGGCAGCCGCCTTAGCGTGGCCCTTGAGCGCGTTGGTGGCGATCCGGCTGAGGGCCCGGCCCAGCGGCTCGCTCTGGTCCCGTTGCATGTTCTTGTGGCTGCCGTCGGCCAGCGCAAACGACAGGCTCAGCTTGGGCTCCGAGGGCACGCAGCGCACTACAGCGCGCTCCATGGCGGCCCGCGCCGGGTCGGCGGCCGCCTCGGTCCGGCTGCACCGTTCCACCGCCCTCCGGACCCTACGAAGCGCGGCGCGGAAGCCTGAGAGCCTCCACATGAACCTGGCGGCCCAGCGACACACAAAAGCGGCGGCCGAGGCGCCGCCACTCTGTCAACCGGAGGCCCCGGCACCGCGGCGCCCGGCTCGAGGACCCATTCAGACTCGGCGACTTCCGGCCGGCGAGGCGAGGAGGGCGGCGCTTCCGCTGAGCACTTTCGCCGGGCCCACTCACCTGCTCCTCTTTCACGTCATGCCAGTCGCTTCATTCTAGCACCTTGATTCTTACATCCAGCGGTGAGAGAAGGGTGAAGGAGACACAGAGATGTTAGGGGGGAGTACCAGACACCCCACTCTTCAAAGTTTTGTCGAAAGTGCGGGCTGAGGACGGGACGGAGCGCTCACCACGCCGGAAGCGCGTGGGCGGGGCCGGCCGCGGCTCTGCGCCGCTGCTCGCGGAGGAAGGCGGGCGGGCGGGCTTCCCTGACTGGGCCGCGGAGGCTCCGCTCGCGCCCGAGGCAGCTGATCCTCCGTTGTGCCTGTGGGGGAGCTCCTCCCGGGTTGCGAGTTTTACTCGGGGGGTGTGTGGGGAGCGTGGCTCGTTTCCTGTTCGTAGTTTGGTTGGTGCTGCTCGCTGTGTGGAGAGGTGTGGTGGGTTCCGCTGAGGCGGGGCCGGCTGTTAGAGCCCAGAGCCTCCGCTAGTCAAGCGGCAACATCCGGGAACTTGCACTTAGGGGCGCTTTGCCACGCACGCAGGCTCGTTTGAGCCGCCCGGGCCTTGGGAGGTAAGGTCTCCCACCCTTCGCTTCAGAAGGTGAGGCCCAGAGAGACTGAGTTGTGCAAGTCAGGACGCCTCGGTAAAGTGACAGAAACACCTGGTTCTGGCAGGCTGCTGAGCGCGGGTCAGGTTTGACGCGACACGGACATCTTTTCTAGCTAGAGTTACCAGACTTAGCAGATACAAGCAGGCTTCCAGGGCAATGGGAGTTATATGGACTAAAAGTTTGACATGCCTAGAGGTAACTCTTTACCTGGAATACAGACTTTCAATGAGCATCTTTCTGTTTTGGTGCCAATTCTGGGCTTGAACTCAGGACCAGGGAGCTGTCCCTTAGCCTTTTCGCTCAAGGCTGCCGCTGCCACTTGAGTCACAGCCCCCTGCCTTGTCTGGCTTCCTATGTTGATCCTCAGGTCTCAGGCTTCTAAGTAGCTAGGATTATAGGCTTGGGTCAGCATGGCTCAGCTGGCATCTTATCTTTCTACTTATTTTACAGCATCTGAAATACCAATGATATTAGTGGGTTTGTAGACCAGAAAGCAATTTGTAACTGGAACAATCACCCAACAGAGAGTGATAGCAGGCAGCAAACAGTTGTTCATATTGATTAGGGCATTTAGATAGACAGATAGATAGATAGATAGATAGATAGATAGATAGATAGATAGATAGATAGATAGATAGATAGATAGTCGGTTGTGGGGCTTGAACTCTGGTCCTAGGCGCTGTCCCTCAGCTCTTCAGTTCAAGGCTGGCACTCTACCACTTGAACCACAGCGCCACTCCCGGTTTTCTGGTGGCTTATTGGAGATAAGAGTCTCACAGACTTTCCTTGCCCGGGCTGGCTTTGAACTGTGATCCTCAGATCTCAGCCTCCTGAGTACCTAGGAGTACAGGCGTGAGCCACCAATGCCCGGCTTAGGGCAGTCTTTTATTTTTTTGATGTTTGAGATCCAATCCAAGATTTCATGCCATGCTATGGAAAGTGCTCTACCACTGGGTTTAAACCTCCAGTGCTTTTCCTCCTCTATCCCTTCTACTCTCCCCTCTCCTAGGAGTGAGTTTAGGACCTTGCTACCTAGTTAGCTACATGCCTAGTAGCTAATAGTGCCCTCTCTCCTAAGAAAAAGGGAAGGCACCGAAGTTCTTTTTCCAAAATGCATGTGCACGCGTGCTAGTCCTGAAGCTTGAGTTCAGAGCCTGGTTCTTGTCCTTGATATTTTTTTTTTTCTCAAGACTAGCACTCTATACCACTTGAACCTTAGTTCCTCTTCCAGGTTTTTGGTGGTTAATTACAAAAGAATTCCAGGGACTTTGCTGCCTGAGTTGGCTTTAAACCACAATCCTCAGATCTCAGCCTCATGAAATCACATATAATATTTACTGCCTCCAGATACAATGCAGTAGTTTTTAGTATATTAACATAGTTATATAACCATCATACTAAATTCTAGATTGTTTTTATTCCCGAAGAAATAACACCCACTAGCGGGGTCTCCATTTCCAGTTCCCCTTTTCCCTGATAATGATTAGTCTACTCTATAGATTTACTTAGTTTAAACATTTACGTGAAATACAGTATGTGATCCTTAATGTTTGGTTTCTCTCACTTAGCATAGGCATAGTATTTTCATAATAGCTTCTAAATAGATTACATGTATGAATTGACAACAAAAAAGTAGGCTTTAAAAAGTAGGCTTGGGGCTCGCAGGCCATGGAGAAGCTTCGGTGGGCCCTGAGCGACCAGGACAATGAGGAGCTGGGCCTGACCACGCAGGTCCTGGACTCCACATCCCTGAGTTTCAGCCCCAGATTGAAGTGTTTTGTGATACGCTTCATGGCTGGCATTTTCTTTTCTATCCTTGGAACTGGATTGCTTTTTGCCGTGTTTTACAACCTTGGGAATCTTTCTGCATTAGCCAGTACTTGCTTTCTGATGGGACCCATGAAGCAGCTGAAGAAGATGTTTGAAACCACAAGGTTGCTTGCAACAGTTAGCATGCTTCTGTGCCTCGTCTTTATCCTGCATGCTGCTCTGTGGTGGCACAAGAAGGGACTGGCCTTGTTATTCTGCATATTGCAATTCTTGTCCATGACGCAGTACAGTCTGTCCTACATCTATGCACGGGATGCTGTTCTTAAGTGCTGCTCTTCTCTCCTGAGCTGAGTGTCCTAGCGTGCTTTTACAGGACAGAAGCATTGGCGTGCTGATAGACTGTGTGTGAGATAGTGCTCATGGACATGCTGTGTCTGAAGTACACAGTTCCCAACAGAGCTGTCAGTCACTCCAGAGCCAGCCCTATGGAGCTGAAGACCTTCTCCTGTACCAGTGAACACACACACCACCTAAACCGTTCCTGCCGGTGTCCTGCATTCACTCTGTCATTAACCTGCTTCCAAAATAGGGAGGCTCCTAATCATTGCCAATTGTAAATAATTTTCCCAGTTTTTCCATCTTTCCAAACAGCTTTTGAGGTGTGAATATTTAAGAGCTAGATCTGTGCTGCAGGGTGCATTCAGCTTACTTGGTTTTCTTTAAATGTCTGCATTTTTAAGACCTTTTTTAACTTTAAAAGTGTGAAACTTTATATCTTAAAGTTGCTTATTACATGTAATAAAAATAATATATGTCTTTACAATTTCAAAATAAACACACTCTTGTAAAAATAAAATAAATAAAAAGTAGGCTTACCAGGAGCTGGGAAGGTGGCTTAGTGGTAGAATGCTTGCCTTGCATACATGAGGCCCTGGGTTCCATTCCTAAGCAGAAAAAGCCAGAAGTGGTGCTGTGGCTCAAGTGGTAGAGTGCTAGCCTTGAGCTGAAGAGCTGAAGGATAGGGCCCAGGCCCAGAGTTCAGGCCCCATGACTGACCAAAAAAAAAAAGGGTTAACAGACACCCTGAAAATATTGCAGGAAGGAATACGAGAAACTTTCTTAATAAAGACCCAGAAACAGTCGGGCGCCGGTGGCTCTCACCTGTAATCCTAGCTACTCAGGAGGCTGAGATCTGAGGATCATGGATCAAAGCCAGCCCTGGCAGGAAAGTCCGTGAAACTCTTTATCTCCAATAAACCACTAGAAAACTGGAAGTGGCACTGTGGCTCAAGCGGTAGAGCGCTCACCTTGAGCTGAAGAGCGCAGGGACAGCACCCAAGCCCAGAGTTCAAGTCCCATGACCGACCAAAAAAAAAAGACCCAGAAACAGAACATATCAAAGAAAGGTTAGACAAATGGAATTGCATTAAACTGCAGAGCTTCTGCATAGTAAAGAATATAGCTAGCAAGATCATGGATTGGGAGAAGATCTTCACTAGCCATACAACAGACAAGGGCCTCATATTTAAAATATACATAGAACTCAAAAAATTACACCCCCCAACAATAAGTCTTCAAAGAAATAACTGCCTGATCAATAAGTGGGCTAAAGACTTAAAGAGAAACTTCTCTGAAGAGGAAATTAGAATGGCCAATAAACACATGAAGTAATGTTCAACTTCTCTAGCCATAAAAGAAATGCAAATCAAAATAACATTGAAATTCCACTTCACCTCAGTTAGAATGGCTATAATCAAGAAATCCAATAATAGATGCTGGAGGGGATGTGGCCAAAAGGGAACCCTACTGCACTATTGGTGGGAGTGTAAACTTGTTCAACCACTCTTGAAAGCAGTATGGAGGCTCCTCAAAAGACTCCACATAGAGCTCCTCTATGACCCAGCAATCCCACTTCTGAGCATTTACCCAAATGATCACAAACAAGGCCATACTAAAGCTACCAACATAACTATGTTTGTTATTATTAGCATTATTCACAATAGCTAAGATATGGAACCAACTCAGTTGTCCCTCAGTAGATGAATGGATCAAGAAAATGTGGTATATATACACAATGGAATTCTATGCCTCCATCAGGAAGAATGACACTGCCCCATTTGTTAGGAAATGGAAAGACTTGGAAGAAATTATACTAAGTGAAGTAAGCCAGAACCAAAGAAACATAGGTCCCATGGTTTCCCTTATTTTCAATAACTAGTATACATCTAGGATAATCCTACTGGACAAGCAGAAAAGGTCAGAAGCTATGTACATATGCTCATATAAAATGATGCAGGGAAATGAACCCCAAGATGTGGACACAAGAGGTTCTTTTCTTTGTTGCTGTTTTTTTGTTGTTGTTGTTATTGTTGTACTTAATGTACTAGGTGACTTTTTTGTTTCCTTTGTATGTTCTTCCCCCTATGGTATACCCACTGTTGGCACTGTATTTGATTCTGGTGCCCTGCATCTTGTATATACATTTTTCTAATTTGGGGAGGGGAAGGGAAATAACAAAATGCTGAAAGAAGGATACAGGTTGACCCATTGTAACAGTGAGATTTACAAGACACTATGTTGAAAATGAACTTTATGGCTTCTGGAGTGGAGGCATTACAGGATCCGGGGGAGGGGACTCTACGTCCTACCAGAGTCCACCATGCAGAGACAGTCTCATGTAAAAAGACTTGGGAGCTGTGACTGCGACTCCGAGCAGTCCTCAAGCTGGAGTTTTAAGGGGTAGGTTACATAGAGTTACGTAGACGAGCCATATAAGTCAGGTTTGGCACATTTTCATTGGTTATAGTTACATGACCTTTAAATTCATTTTTCTTTATGGTAAATATCAAATGTAATAATTTGCAATTGGCTGCCCATAGTGGGACCACTCGGTGGTGGTCTTTAATTGGTGGTCTTAAGACCCTGTTACTGAGGCAGGCAAGTAAGCAAGGTTACAGAAGCAAAACATAGCAAAATCAGCCTTGAGTCACAGGAGCATAGGCAAAACATAATATTGACTTGGCCGGCATGACCAATACTATCAATGCTATTGACACTATTACAGAAATTATTCTTATAAGCTCCTTGGCTAATACAGCAACTCAGTGCAGCTGGTGATAAGCTTCAAGGTTGTCAGGAGCCCTCTGCAAAGCTGCCAGCTTGGTAGATTTGACTGAGGGTCAGATGTCCTTTTGCTTTTTAGCAAGGATGGAGAAGGAACAAAGACTGACTATTGGTTAGCCTTTGTTGTCTGGGGTTTTTCTTTACCAAGAGGTTTTGACCTTTATCAATAATCTTGTTCTGTTTTCTGATTCCACATTTTTGTTCCCCTGGATATTCTTTTCCCATGGAAAAGGGTTGAGGGGAGAGACTAAATGTCCAACAACAGGAGGGACTGAGGCCAGAGGAGGAAGTTTCTGCCAGTGAATAGCAATGCAGATATTACAGGGGGAGGGAAGAGTTAGAGAGGAGAGGAGGGAAGGGATAGTAGGGGAAAAACAAAAGAAGCGGTTAACAGTCTCAATAGGAAATATAATCATTACTCATGTAACTGTAACTTCTCTGTACAGTATCTTTACAATAAAAATATTTAAAAAGTAGGCTTAAAATCTTTCCACAGAAAAGTTTTAATTGGGAGTACACCTTTATACTTGTTTTAACTAGACAATTCTATTTGCAGTATAAAGATCAGACTATAGCAGGGCAAAACTAAGTAAGCTGAACAAATGGTAGGATATTTACATAGGTGGAAAGGATTGGGGTAGAAATATGTTTGGGAATAAAAGAATCTGTTTGGATCATATTAAATTTGAGATGTTTATTAGGCTCCAGGAGGTTATGCTTCCTAACTATAGGCAGTTATATATGTTTGAATATGGGGCAGAGGTCAGACCTGAAAAGATTTTAACATTTGAGGAGACCAGAGCAAGGAGGGCTACATACCATTTAAAAATCAAGCTATTAAATAATATTTGTTCTATTCCCCTACTTTAAGAAGTACACTTTCCTGAAAGATCACACTTAAATAGTTTGTGATTGTTGGTGTTTTCAGAGTTCTGAACCAGGGTTAAATCTTGAAATTTAATTCTTAGACACATACCTTATCTTTCCACCCGCGCTTCTTTTCTTTATCTTTCTGTAGATACATGAGGAAATTCAGCTTGAATTTTCAAATCTGTCCCCAAACAACTGCACTTTGATTACCTGTGGGCCTAGAGAAGGAGTACATAGACTCTTTGGATATCAGGAACACCCTACCTTGTGGGTACAAGTCAGGATCTCTCAAGAGAGATCAAGGTAGAGAAATGACCAAGAAGTAAAGAATAGGTTAAGATGAAAAAGAAAAGGTTTGTTTCCCCTGCTTATTCTCCAATAAATATTTAGAAAAAGTCCTAGTATGGGCTGGGAAGGTGGCTCAGTGGTAGAGCGCTTGCCTTGCATGCCTGAGGCCCTGGGTTTGATTCCTCAGCACCACATAAGCAAAAAGAAAAAAGCTGGAAGTGGCGCTGTGGCTCAAGTGGTAGAGTGCTAGCCTTGAGCTGAAGAGCTGAAGGACAGCGTTCAGGCCCAGAGTTCAGGCCCCACGACCAGACCCCCCCCCCAAAAAAAAAAATGTTCTAGTATGGAATACATAGATGTTGAATAAATGACAGGAGGCTGAAAAGAAATAGTGGTTTAGAGGAAATGAGAAGTATAACTTTACTAAAAGCTAAATGAAAAAAATTTCAAAAAAACACTAGTTTTGTGTTGTATGTTATTCTAATTTCCACTCCATGATTAACTGAAGAAGAAATAGGAAAGGAAAAATCACTTATCCCTAGTGGAAAATGGTATGATTCTATACTTAAAAGAGATAAAAGTCTCCATCAGAAAAAACTTTAATACCATAAACTTTTTGGTAAAATGGCAAGATACAAAATGAGCATACAAAAAAATCAGTTGCATTTCCATATGAAAATAATAAGCAGGCTGAGAGATGAATCAGGAAAATAATTCCACTTATAATAGCCTCAGAAATAAAATGCTTAGGAATAAGCTTAAGGGTGAAAGAACTCTGCAATGAAAACTAAAACACTGAAGAGAAGTTGGAAGAGCCACAAGAAGATGGAAAGACTACCCATGTTCACAGATCAGCCGAATTATTTTTGGAAAAATGGCTAAATTACTAAATGCAATCTACAGATTTAATGTAATTCACATTAAAATTACAATGGTATTCTTCACTGAAATAGGAAGGTCAGGTTTTTTCTGTTTTGGTGATACAGGGTTTGACCTGTATCACTGACTTCACACTTACAGTCACAGTTTACCTCTTGCACTATGGCCCTTCCACATAAAGAACTTTTAAGCATATTTATATATTTTTCAAGTACTCTCATGTTTGATTTTGTAATGAACAGTACCTGGAAATGAAGCATACCCAATTCATCTCATAACTTTGCTTAGTATCTTCAATATTTCTAAACAAGTAGTAGCTCCCTACTTGAGACAGCCTTCTATGTAGCCCAGGCTGGCACT